CACCCCCGGGCATGTGTCTCTGACTGGAATCAAACCAGGGACCCTTCAATCTGTAGGCCAACACTCTATCCACTGAGCCAAACCAGCCAGGGCCAGCTCACAGATCTTTAAGGCAGAAACAACCAACTCCATGATTTCACACACACACACCAGGAATAAATTATAGCAACATCAAGTGATATGGGAGTAGGATCAAATTTCTTTTGAAAATACTTCGTATGATTTCAATATAAATGAGATTACACTCTAAATAATTGTACATATGGAAACATTAATTCTTTTGATATATTTAAGTATACAAAACATTACCTAACTACATTTAAAGTTTGGAGTATACTGTAGTAAACATTCTGATGTAGAGCAATACCGAAAGGCATTTTGGCTACCTATCTAGTGTGAATTCAGTGATACATTAAAATTCATAAGCAATTACATAGTTGGATAAAGTTTTTACATCTTAAAGTCATTTTAAGGTATAAACTCCTTGGATTTTTGTAAACTATATATATTTTTAAACAGTCCTTCCTCCCATGTCATAAATATTGAACTTCTACCCAATTACAATCCCTGGTATTGACTGGGGCTGAAGGTCCAACTATATGATTTCCCACATTCTTCACATTTAAGGTTCCCTCTAGAATGAATTCCAATGTGAGGAATAAGCTACAGATGCTGATTAAAGACTGTAGGACACTATTTAAATTTGTATTGTTTCTCCCCAGTATGAATTCTGATGTCGTGTAAGGTTTGCATACTAAGTAAGCTTTGTCACATTTTTTACATCTGCTGGGATTCTATCTAGTAGTAATAACCAGATGTTGTATGAGATACAAATAAGGATATACACTTTGACATATGCCTCATAATTTTTAAGGCTCAATTTTATCATTTTCAATGACGATTCAACCATGGTTAAATCTTTGGATGAAAACTTTATATTACTGCTGTTTCTCTTCAGAATGATTCCTAAAATGTTCAGTATATTTGACCATAGGCTAATGCCTTTCTCACATTTTTAAAAATATAAGACTTCCCTCCACTATAAAATCTCTGATGTAGCCGAAACCGGTTTGGCTCAGTGGATGGAGTGTCAGCATGCGGACTGAAGGGTCCCAGGTTCGATTCTGGTCAAGGGCATGTACCTGGGTTGCGGGCACATCCCCAGCAGGAGATGTGTAGGAGGCAGCTGATCGATGTTTCTCTCTCATCGATGTTTCTAACTCTCTATG